GACTGAAGAATCAAACTCGATGATACATATATATATATATATATATATATATATATATTATATATATTATATATATATTTTTAAGACCTCTATTAGATCAGAAAGGCGACGATCCCGCAAGCGACAACCGACACGACGGTAGCAGCGACAGGTGCAGCGGCGAGGATACCGGCAGCGCTGTCACCGTCGTCGGTATCGTTGAGGCTGTTCCCGGTAGTGATGTTCATGGTGCCGGTGGCCTGGGCCTCGGAGGGCAGACCGAGGGTGGCGGCGATGGACTCGCTCGCGTCGGTGGCGGAGGGGACGGCGTCAGCGCCGGAGCCGATCTCGACGATGTCGCTGTCGGTGGCGTCAAAGTTGCTCTGGGCCAGGGAGATCTCGTTGTTGTCCAGGTCGAAGACGACGTAGGCGCTGCGGAGGAAGGTGTCGCCCAGGACGGACGAGGACGAGCCCGAGGGGGCGATGCCAAAGGTGCAGATCTGGTTCTCGGCCGTGTCGGCCGACGACTCCGAGGTGGAGGAGATGACGAGCTCGTCGATGGGGACGCTGACGACGGCGGGCTTGTCGAAGTGGAAGGTCAGGTTGGCCGACTGCCTGGCCAGGGCGCACTCGACGACGGCCAGGCCGGCCTGGGAGTCGTACTGGGCGCCGACGGCGTCGTAGATGGCGGCCGTGAGCTCGTCCGGCAGGTAGGTCAGGGAGCTGCCCGAGTCGAGCAGGACGGCGAGCCCCATGTCCTCGGCCACGGTGCTGCCGGCCAGGTCGAGCTGGCTGAGGGTGAGCCAGAACTCGCGGAAGACGGGCTGGCCGTCGCTGTCGGTGCCGACGCTCTGGATCGGCAGCGTCACCAGCTCCCCCGTGTACTGCGACCGGTCCACGCCGCCGAAGAGCAGGCTGCCCGTGCTGGCGTCCAGGTCGTCGAGGTAGAGGCTGTAGGCCGTCGAGGCGATGACGCCGTCCGACACCAGCCGGGCCGGGACGTTCTCGTAAGGGGTCATGCCCAGGTTGGCGGCCTGCGCCTCGTTGGTCCGGTAGCCGATGCCCATGATGTTGTTGGTCGACGTGCTCTCGTAGCCGATGCCGAACTGCAGGGCCTTGATCACGGTCCCGCCCACGTCCACCGTGTCGGTCGCGTAGTCGCCGGCCGCACCCGACCCGTCCACGTACGTGATGTTGAAGTCGTCCCGCACGAAGCTGTAGGTCGACGAGGCGTTGACGCTGTACGACCCACCCGACGCGCACGGGTCCGTCCTGCGCTCGCACAGCGTCGAGGACGCCGCGTTGACCCACAGGTCGCTGCTGCCCGTGTCGATGTCGACCCGGAAGCTCTGCTTGGGCGTGCCGATCGTCATGTTGAGGGTATACAGCGCTTTCTACAGTTGGTCGGTGTTAGTCATGGTCCCTGGTTCGGTACGGATATGTATGTATGTATGTGTGTATATGTATGTATGCGTGTGTGTGTGTGTGTGTGTGTGTGTGCATGTGTGTGTATGCGTGTGAACATACTTGGTTGTCCAGAGTGGCCTGCACAGAGTCACGCTTGCGGTACCTGTTCCGGTCATGAGCCACCCGGTCCTCGATCTCGTTACGCTCCAGGTCAAACTTGACGACGCGAGGGGCATCCTGTCCACGTTCGCGGAGGTTGATGGCTCCAGCCGTGGATAGCAGCAGCGATGAGGCTGCCAGTATACAAGAGGAGCGCATCGTATTTGTGTGTGTGTGTTTATAGCCTTTGGTAGCTGTAGTTGTAGCTGTAGTTGTTGTCGATGTTGTTGTTGATGATGACGTCGGGTATTACAAGTCTCTTGGCTGCAAGTTACCAAGACCTCTCGGGCGTCTATCAGATGGTTCTGGCTCGATGTGATATATATATTTGGAACGAAGAAGGAATGATTAAGTAGGAGGAAGAGAAGGGGAAGAAAAAAAAAGAAAGGTTTCCTGAATGGGGAAGGAGAAGACAAGGCCTTTATCTAGCTTGAAATGATCAGAGACAGGATACTATTCTGACAATGTGGAACCCTTGTCTTGCCGGGTTCGGGATCATCGGTTGTCGTCGCAGGGGAGGGGGACGAGGAAGAGGAGGACGACGACGACGACAGCGGGAACAATATATCCACCCCCCCTTCCTTGACTCGTGAGTCGTATTATCCTTCTCTCCGAACTAGGGATGGGTGGCCGCGTCTTCCCTAGACTCTGATGGCCACGATAGGTTTGCCATCGCGACCCTCAACGTCTCATTGGGGGGGGGAAGCAGCGTTACGTGGGCGTGCCGCGATACCGTGAGTACCCCTTTACCCTTACCCTGACCGGCCACCGTAGGGCCGGGGCCTGTTTGCAGGCACTAACTCGCATGTACGGCACCCAGCGTGTGGTTTGCTATTCGAGGCCGAAGAGGCATAATGCGTAGGGGTCATACGTAGTCGTACTATGTGTGGGTTGTGTGTGTAAAGGACTAAAGGCAAGGAGAGAGAGAAAGAGGAGGGGGGGGGGGTGGTTGGTTCCACCAGTATTCGTCATCGTCGTGGCAGCGATCTTTTTTTTTTTTTTTTAAAAAAAAAAAAGAACCCCTCCCCTCCCCAAGTGCTAATACGGAGGTACAGCCTACAAGTGATATGACAAAATACTCGTACTCATTCGTGCATTTCTGAGACGCGCGGCCTCCTTTTATCTCATGTGACAGGGTGCTGCTTTTCGCGACCCAAGTCGGTCAACCGGTTCCGGGTCGACGAGATGTCGACCTCGTGAATGGGTGGGCAGCCGCCAACTCTGGAGGATGCTTGCAGTGAATGGATGGGAAACTCTCCTGTTCTCTCTCTCCCGTGAGCGCTGAGACGGAGAACGAGACGGAGCACTGGGGGGAAACGGAACGAGAAAATCGGCAGAGGTTTGCCGTGAAGCGTTAGGGAATAGCATGCCCCCGGAAACATTCACCGTGCCAAGGAGAAGCCTCGTTCTGCCTCATGTCTCGAATGTTGGCCGCCAATGCCGTCGATCCGACCCTCTTGTCAGGCCGCCGGGCGGTTCTGGTTCTGTGTCAGATTGTGATATTATCTGCACAGGCTAATAGAAATATCCACAGGTATTTATCCTACCCCGTATTTACTCTTTTCAGAGCGTACGGGTACGTACATGTACATATGCGTACCAACAGTACGGAGTATTATTAGTATATCATTTGTACGTACTGAGCTGTATGCAGAGTCTCGGATCGTGGCTGTGCGAAGCCCCAAACTAGAGAGGCAGCCTGCTCCTATTATCATTAGTCAGCTCTTCTGTGGCTATGTATTGTGCCCGTACGCAGCTACCTCCCTCCGTATTATGGGTAGGAGTCATCTGGTACGAGTCGTCTGTGATAATCTACATGTCAGTACGGATAATACCTGGCTTGAGTAATTGTTGGTACCGTTCTCATACGCGTGTGAGGGTCATGTAGACAATACAGATGCGTTAGGCCCTTCAAAGGAAGAGCCGCGGCAGTTGTACTGATCTTACTTATTCTATCTATCTAGCTAAGGAGGGGGGAGAGGTGAGGCCGTAGACAGATCCCCGATCTGATGAGGTTTGCCTAGAGGCCTGAGGCTGAGGTCCGGACCGGAATAACCATTATGCGGCATTTGCTAGTGTCTGTACAAACAGTAATGATACTTTGTGATACGTACTCCGTACGTGTCAGACCGAGCAAGGATCATGATGGAACCGCATAGATCCCCTGATAAATAGCCAAGTCTTTTTTTTTCAATTTTTTTTTTTTTTCAAGAGAAAAATAAAGACAAAGAATAAAATTTTTTCCGGTGTATAAACTCTCTTTATGGCGCCACTATCAAATGTCCGACTATGATCTCATTGATCGTTACTCGTATACTTGTGAGATGGAATGACGTAAAATCATTCAACTCCCAACTCGAATGCAGCAGGTATATCTATCTACATATTATAAACGGTGCTCGGACAGCTCTGAAAAAGTCTGAAGAACAACGCTTCTCAGGGTCCCTTAGACAGTCCATTCTTCGAGATTGTCATTGCTGGTGATGAACGGTTCGTCGATTCTCTTGATGGCGAGATCAGAGCAGAGGATGCTGTGAGTAGTAGTCAGCATCTATGATCAGGAGGAGGAAAAGAGAGAAGAAAAGAGAGGGAAAAGAAGGGTGAATGGAGAAAGGAAAGAGTGAGAAGAGAAGGGACAGAGAAGATGACAAGGTTAAAAAAAAAAAAAGTAAAAGTAGAAAAAAAAAAAAAAAAAAAAAAAACTTACCAAGCAGATGCAACCAGGGAATCCAGCTCGGCAACGACAGCATCCCTCTTGTCCCCCTGCGTCACGGTCCCCCTGTGAATCTGCATCTGCAGATCCCTCATCCTCGACGACTTGGCCACGCCCGACTGCTCGAGCACCCTCTTGCCCAGGCAGTCCGAGTGGAACGAGTGCTGGCAGGGGAAGACGAAGAACTGCCTGCTGACCAGCGGCAGCCCGCAGGCGTAGCACCTCTCCCCCGGCGTCACCAGGGCGTACCGGTGGTCCAGCGCCGCGATGTCGAGCTTGATGTTGGCCGCCGTGGCCGACGACTCGTCCATGTCGCGCCTCAGCCGGTCGATGCTCCGGCTGTACTCCTCCAGCGCCGAGCAGATCTCCTCCTTGAAGTCGTCAATCACCACAAAGTCGGGGAAGAAGGGTATCAGGTCCTCGATCCGGATCAGCTCGCACCGGCCCGCGAACTCGATGGCCGTGCGGATCCCGTCGCCCGTCTGCGATATCACCTTGCGCGCCACCGCCAGCCACAGCCGCTTCCGCAGCGTCGGGTTCGACGTCGGCCGGTCCGCTATCACCGCCGCCAGGTCCACCTCGTTGTGCGACAGGGCCAGGTCCACCGCCTGGAGGTACTGCCCCATGCTCGTGTAGATGTGCACGCACGACAGCGTGCGGTGGTGCTGGATGCACAGGCGCAGCGCAAAGTCCGGGTCGTAACGTACGTCGGGGCCGCCACCGCCGCCGCCTTTGGCGTTGACGTTGGCGTTGGCGTTGCTGCTGTCGTTGTCGCCCTGCGCTTGCAGGTACGACAGCAGGCCGGACTCGTCCCGCGACGGGTGCGACGCGTACATTGACACGAGCGTGTTGTGCACCGCCGGGTCCCGGCTGTCGACCTGGTACACGAGGTAGTTGAGGTAGCGGATCGCCTGGTTCTGCGACGTCGGCCCGCCCGAGAAGGCAGCGTTGTACTCCAGCAGCGCCGGGATGAGCCTGCGCGGCTCCAGGTCCGGGTGCCGCATCAGCACCTCGACCGTCTCCTGCGGCACGTGCGTCATGAGCACGCTGCTGTACCGGTAGAAGACGTCGCGGTCCGTCTGCCGCTTGAGCACCCCGAGCGCCTCCGCCCACCGCTCCCGCTGCACCCAGTACGACAGCACGTAGTTGTAGTCGCCCACCGCGTCGGCAAAGTACAGGAGCTCCTCCTCGCGCCCGTGGCTGCTGATGACGTCGTAGGCCGTCCGCACGTCCAGGTCTGCCCTGTACCGCGTGACGAATTCCCGGAACTCGCCCCGGACCTGGCCCAGGAGCTTGCGCGACTCGTTGCTGCTGTTGCCGTTGCTGCCGCCCGCGCCGCCGGGCGCCGCCGCCATCTCGGCCTGCGCGCCGATGCCGATGGCGTCGTCGAGGGAGTTGAGCTTGGCCATGAACACCTCCACCAGCCACCCGGCCAGCATCATGCGCTGCATGACCGACGACTTGGACGTGGCCGCCAGCCTGGTGAGGAGGAAGCGCCGCAGCGCGTCGGGCTGGCCGCTGTCCATGATGCCGAGTGCGATGTCCTCGAACGGCTTGTTGCTCCGGCCGTACACGACGGCCGCCTCGCCCCAGTGCCCGCCCCCGGCCAGGTGGTCCCCGTAGGCGGCGGCCACCGTCTCCTTCTGCGACTGGGTGCGCGCGTGCCGCAGCGCCGGCTCGAACTGGCGCTGCTTCATCAAGATCTCCCAGATGTTGCGGTCCTCGTCGCGCACGACAATCTCGAAGATCTCATCCGACGTGAACAGCCAGAACGTGTTCTTCTGCAGGTCCACCGAGAAGCCGACCGTCTGCTGGCCCGCGCCCAGCACGTCGTGCTCCGAGACCACCTGGCCCGTCAGCCGGTTGGTCGCCACCACCCTCCCCCCCACCAGGCTGATCATGTGCCACTGCGTCAGGGCGATGGCCTCGATGGCCTCCGACGGGGGGGCCGTCCTGCCGCCGCCGCCGCGTCTCTCCGGCCCTTCAGGCGCGACAATCTGCGCCCGAGGCAGCATCTTGGACTCGGAAAAGACCCTGGCACCCAGGTTGTCGCTGCCGTTCCCGCTGCTGCCGTCCTCCGCCGCACCGAGAAGGAGCTTCCCGTGAAAGACGCCCTGGGCGGTGAGCCACGCGTACGCGCGCTCGAGCGGATGCGAGCCGCGAGCATCGTCAGCATCAACCGGGGGGTCGGGAGACACAGCGAGCGAGGACGAGTGTCCGGCAGCCGCAGTCGACGACGACGACGACGATGACCGCGACAGCTCGTGAACAACAGGCTGCTCCCCCTCAAATAGGCGAGTGTATATCGACCCTGACCCGTCGCGCGACGGGCCAACCTTGCCCGAAAGATGGAACAGCCGTCCATGCGTGGCGATGAGGACCCTCCTCCGGACGTCGCCGCCGCTGCCCCCGGGCAGATTATCCACCCACAGCCCCGTAACGGGGCCGTCCGGCAAGCGGTGCAGATTCTTGAGCTGCTTCACCTCCTTCTTGTAGAAGTCGGTCGACGTCTCGATGCTGGCCTCGTAGATGTTGCCGTCCGCAGCGCCGAGGAGTATCTCGCGCGTCGACGCCGTGGGCAGCTCCGGGTTCCACGCCACGCTCTCGATCGGCACGCCGCGCAGCCTGCTCAGCGGACGCGGCTGCCTGGACTGCGAGTGAAGGTAGTAGTTCTCCCCGGAGACGGTGCAGACGATCAGGTGAGAGGCCGTGGGATCGAGGAACATGCGGCGGATGACTCCACCTCCGGCTCCACCTTGGTGATCTGTCGATGACGCCGACTTGCCCGACCGGGGGAGGTCGATGTCGTCAATGTCCTCGGGTCGGTTGAGGTCGATGCGCAGGATGCGCCCGTTGGTCAAGGCAAGGACGATGACGTTGTTGGCCACCTGGGCGGCCGAGAAGCCCGCCGCCACCGAGAATTGAAGCTGTACGCGCTCGACGGTGAAGATGGGCAGGTCTTCTAGGTCGGATACGCCGCCGTTGGCCGGGACGAAGCCTTCGCTCAGGTCCAAGGCCATCTCTTCCTCGGTCTTCTTTCCCTTGTCTTTTTTCTCTCCCCTCTGTTTCCCCCCATCTATTTTCGACCCTCCTTTCCCTCTGTTGACTCCTGTCTTGCCCTCCTCGTCGCTATGCTTGGGCGTGAGAGGGGGAGGACGGATGGGTTATGAGGGCGTTGGCACAAGCTCCTCCTTCTCCTCCTGTCGACCCCTGCGTCGAGCGGGTGTTTATGTTGTCGATATTTTCCTGGTACTCCGTCGTCCCTCTTCGTCCGGTTCGTATATGCGTTTGTTTTGCTGTCGTCGCAGCGCCGCTGAAGAGTAGAAGACTGCAAAAGAGCGGGCGTTGTACTCGTGACGGAGTCGGAGTGCTGGAGGTTGGGGTTGGGCGGGACAGGTACGCAGCCCACTGTTCCCACAGGTAGGGTAGGCGGAGAGAGCTACTGTAATTACAGCCTACAGCCTACAGCCTACAGCACCTACAGCACAGAGAGCTTATACGAGTATGTAATCTGCACAGACGACGCCCCGAGCTTACAAGATCAACGTCATCACAGTTCATGACATAGAAAAAAAAAAACCCACATCTTCTCCCTTTCTTTCTGATTTGTTCTCATTTGAATTTTTTTTGGTCCTTCCATCATGATATCACCTTCCCTTTGCTATACTGTCCATGCTAGTTCTTTCACTATTATATGATTGTTTCATCGTATTCGCATCTTCACCACCTCGTCTTTACTTGCGTGCTTAAACGTATTCACCGTGGCATAAATAGAGAGTGTATATGTGTGTAAAAAACGAGACGCTAGTATGCCTCTATGAAAAAGAAGAAGGGAAAAATGGTACTCCAAGAAGAAGAGGGAATCTTTGTTCTTCTATAGAAAAAGAGAAACACCCGGATTCTAGTGACTGTTCTTCCTTTTTTTTTTTAAAAAAAAAAAAAAAACTCAGACCCAGAAAGGGACAGGATATAAGAACAAGAGTGTGAAGAGTTCAAGGAGAAGAAAGGCAAAACGAGAGAAACGCCGCCACCCGAAAAGAGAAAAAACGCCCATAATGTGCTGAAACCATTGTTGTATCCCCCCCCCCCCTGGAATCATGACTTTTGGGGTGAGCAATATATGTAGTGAAGATGTATACGGAAAAGAAAAGTATTCGTGCCTGGTACACACATGGAAAGAAGGGAAGATGACGGGAGGGAAGGAATGAAAGGTGATGCGAAGGAGAAGAGAAGAGAAGAGGAAGGTGAAATAGAAAAAGATGGGAGGAAAAAAAAAAGAAGTAAAGGAAGGATGAGGGAAGAAAAAGAAAAAGAAGAGAGAGAGAGAGAGAGAGAGAGAGAGAGAGAGAGAGAGAGAGAGAAGAGAGGAACAACCTTCTGATTCATCCGTCATCTCCCGGTAGGGTGGTGGCAGTAGCGGCAGGATCGGCAGGTAATAGAGGAGCAGCAGTAGCAGCGGTGCTCTCTGGTCGCCGTGTACTCGTGACCGGTCGCTGATCCGACTCTGATTCCGAATCGGGAGAGTGAGAGTGCGGATGAGGGTGAGGACACTCGCGATGCACCCCCGTAGAGAGAGATGCGGACCTGGACCTGTCCCTCATCTGCGGCGGGGGACCCGTAGACTCCGGCGCATCTTCGGGTTTCCTGGCGACGATGACGACGGCCTTGACGACCAGACCCTCCGACTTGGCCGGGTCCTTGGCCAGCTCGGCCATCTCCCTGGCGACCGACTCGCAGGCAATCTTGCACTCGTCCGGGTCCCAGCCCATCTGTTCGGTCAGCAGGCGCAGGCACCCGGCCTCGAGGGAGTCGAGGCAGGAGATGAGCCAGATCTTGCCGGCCGACTTCTCGGCGACGGAGATGGGTATCTGGTACTCCGTCACGCGGACGTCGACGAAGCCGGCGTCCATGAAGAGGTGGGGGTCCAGGTAGGCGGGGCCCCGTCGACGGCCAGACCTGTCGGCGGCGATCTCGAGGTCCTCGAAGAGCCGGTGGATGGCCGAGTCCGGGGAGAACTGCTGGGCGAAGCGCATCTCGCTCTCGGTGGCGTCGAAGTCCTGCAGCTCGATCCACCCGCCCGGCTTGAGGGAGTAGTAGGCGCACTCGTAGATGTAGCGCCAGTCGCGGAAGGCGCCCATCATGGTGCGCAGGTGGATCAGGTCGTACAGGTCTGGGCTGCGGTCCCACTCCTCGGCGTCCTCGATCTCGAAGAAGACGTTCATCGGCACACTGCTCGTCTCGGCCACGGCCGCAATGTCGGTCCCCACCACCTCGCAGTCGGGGAAGGTCTCGGCCATCTTGATGGCCCACTCGCCCGTGCCCGTGCCCACGTCCAGTATGTGCTGCGGATTGTCCAGCTTGACCGTCGTGTGCTCGCCGTGCAGCACGTGCAGGAACACCTGGTGGTTGAGCGACAGCCGCAGCTGCTCGATCTCATCGATGGGCATGAACCACTCACGGCAGTACAGGCGGTCGTGGATCTCGCGGTAATCGAGGTCCTGCGCCCATAGGGAGCGGGTTGAGGCCGCTCTGTGAGGTCAGGGGAGGGGAGTGGGGGGTTTCTTTGTCAGCAGAGCGGTCCCAGAGAGCGCTTCCTCGCCATCCTCCTCTCGCCTTGTCGTCCGCGACAATACTAGGGCACGACTACTCACAGATCTGAATTCCCTGCTAGCGACTCAGTCGTCAGGTACGGCGTTTCGGTGCGATAGGTCCTGGCGACGGGCGGGTAGTTCTGGGCGGCAGCAGCGGCGTGGGTATGTGTGTATATGGATTGGAGGTCTGTGTCGTCGTCGTCCTCCTCCTCCTCCTCACATGGGTCGTCTGCCTCGATGACATCCTGCATGACATCGTCTTCCGGGTCGTGGTCTGCGGTGGAGTCGACAGCGAGGTCGAGAGGGTGGTCGTGTTGGCCCTTTGCCGCGGGGGTCATTGTCGGGAGATGGTCGAGAGCCATGGCATGGTCTTCTTCATCGTCATCGTCCGTGTTGTAGACGCTCGTCATGGCCGTGTGGGAGCGGGAGCGGGAGCTCTCGCTAGTGTCGCGCTCACTGGCGGTATCGACACTAGAAGAGGTTCTGCTTCGGATACTGTGTGGTGGAGGGGACTGAGGTAGGATACGATGATTGGAGGAGGCGGTGTTACTAGCAGTACTAGTAGCGCCAGTAGCAGCAGTAGCAGCAGTAGCAGCAGTAGCAGCCGTAGCAGCAAGAGCAGCAGTAGAAGTATCGTCAATGTCAATGGCAACGTCGTTGATGGGAGGGAAGGGGAGATGTGACGGTGGCTGTCTTAGATTTGTGCGATTTTTGACGTTTTGATCGTGTTTGTCGTGCCTCGGTGGGCGTCGTCTTCGGGCCATGGAGGGTTGAGTCGGTCGAGTCGGTTTGAGTGGTTGGTGGTTGGACAAGAGGGACAAGAGGGACAGAGGAGGGGGGGCGAAGGTGGAGGAGTAGTAGTAGCAGCAGTAGTAGCAGTGGTGGTGGTTGGTGGTGGTAGGTTAGTAGTAGCTGGGCTAGCTGAAAATAGAGCTGAAAAAAATATAGAGAGAGAGAGGAAGGGGGGAGG